TTGCTAACGGGTTTCATTTTACCATTATGCTAATAAAAAGGGTTTAATTTAAATGTTGCATTAACTGAACAAACTTAGTATAGTTTAGGGCTGGGTGATTATAGCAAAGAAATTATTACATTTATAGTAATTAATAATTATCATTTATAAAAATGACTAATTATTAAAATTGTTTTAATTAATTAAATGTAGTGCTTATAAGGATTTCTTTGTGTTAAAAATCCAGTTGATTAATTTAAAATCTCATTTTCCACTGGCTTCTTCATTTGCAAAAAATAAGCTCTGTGACCAACAAAAGTTCATTTATCTTACACGTTTTTTTTTTTTTTTCATTGTGGTAATCTTCAAATAAACAAGTTTTATGAATTTTAAAGCCTTAGTACAATCGCCCGAAGTAAAAAGCTAAACATAGGCTATAAACAAACTGCACCACGGTCACGACTTCAATGTCACCACCATTAAAGGGAGAGTTCGCCCAGAAATAAAAGAAAATTCTGTCATTATTTACTCATCCGCCTCTGGTTCCAAACCGGCATGATTTTCTTTCAGCTGTTGAACACAAAAGAAGATACTTTGAAGAATGTTGGTATCCAAACAGTTGACGGAAGCCAGTGACTTGCATAGTATTTTTTTTACCATATTATGGAAGTCAATGGCTACCGTCAACTGTTTGGATACCAACATTTTTCAAAGTATCTTCTTTTGTGTTCAACAGCTGAAAGAAAATCATACAGGTTTGGAACAACTTGAAGGTAATTAAATGACTACAGAATTTTTATTTTTGGGAGAACTCTTTAAGCTTCCGACAACTCTTTCAGTCTTTATTTAAAAACATTTTCCCTGAAAGTTTGAGTTCGAATAGCTTGAAAGAGTGTGATGATAAACACAATGAGGCTGTAAAGGTGACTAACGAGTAGATGAATTTACTTGTTCAGTGCAGGGGCGTAGCCACATAATTTCAGAAGTGAGGGGGACAGAAATGTAATGTAATATATACTGTATATAACCTACCAGTCAAAAGTTTTTGAACAGTAAGATTTTTTAATGTTTTTAAAGAAGTCTCTTATGTTCACCAAGCCTGCATTTATTTGATCCAAAGTACAGCAAAAGCAGTAATGTTGTGAAATATTTTTACTATTTAAAATAACTATTCTATAAATTACTATTCTATGTGAATATATTTTAAAATGTAATTTATTCCTGTGATCAAAGCTTAATTTTCAGCATCATTACTCCAGTCTTCAGTGTCACATGATATGATCCTTCATTCATTATCAATGTTTAAAAAAGTTATGCTGCTTCATACTGTGGTGCATTTTTTTAAGGATTATTTGATGAATAGAACGTTCAAAAGAGCAGCATTTATTTGAAATAGAAATCTTTTGTAACATTATAAATGCCGTCA